CATACGATGATGCATGTGCAACTACATCAGATATGTTTAATTTTTTTGCTGAGCAAGGATTTTCCTTTCAAAACAACAAGCGGTCACCCACCAACAAAGTATATGAAGTAACGTCAAACTTCATCATATCGATGCGCTTGAATTTCCCCCAGGGCAACGCGGGTTATTGATAAAGTCTGTACGCGCGCAATACGTTCAATGTACTGTTTAAATGTAATGTATGTATTATATATGTATATAATGGAGAGAGATAGAGCTGGACAGCGGTGGGGCAAGCACAACTTGACAGACAAATTGTAGCAGCAAAGTGATAGGGGAAGAAGAGAGAGAAAGCAAGGAGATATTCAGAGCTAGGGAACGACGCAGAGATTGCAGACAGAAGAGCAGAAGAGAGACGAGAGAGAGAGAGAGAGAGAGAAAAGACAGATGTCCTGATATTAGCTTAGGAACCGGGTCAGAAATCAGTTGGCCTAGTAAAAGGCCTATATTTATAACATTTCATATTTGTTTGTTGCACGAGACAGGATAAGAGGTAGACAAATGTGTTTTGATGATTTTAGCTTGTAGACGCCAGAGGAGAGATGAGAAAGAGGAGAGAGATAGGAGAAGCGAGAGAGGCGGAGGATGAGAGGGGAGAAAGAGAGGAGACGAGAGAAAAAGAAGAGTAATCTACTACTGGGCGAAAAAGGCAAGCTAAACAACAAAAAAACGACATGTTTGGGCAAGAGCGAAGCACGACACACAAGAGAGATAAGAGATGTAAAGGGGCCGTACAGAGAGCAGCTGAATTCGGATCGCAGGGTCTGCCGAAGATAGTGCACCGCCGAGTTAGATTAAATTCCGAATGTTGTCAAACAGCCTCACGAGAGATTAGCTCTACTCACCTACCAGAAAGTCGAGTAAAACGGGACGGTAGCAAGAAGACCCACAGAGTTCATCCGTATTGTAGACAAGTTGTTTTGATTCTCCAATTACCTGCAGTGTGTCCAATGGCGACGGGTAACAAGGCAATTCCAAAACGAATCTATGAAGTCTGTCTCAGAAAGGAATTGCCCCCCAATTTGACTACGAGAAGGGAAGTGGCTCTCTCGACCCAAAGTAATACCTAGAGACGCTCTTCACAGATGCCTACAGAACCGTTGGCCAATGGAAGAAGAAAGACGAAACCTTTGGTTGGTTTCATGACCACAATTGACTCCGTGCTTGCAATCTGCCACGATCTTCCTGACAGGACCAGAGCCTTTACGCGGTAATGTCTGTACATACAAAAAAAGTCAGAAAGCAGAAGATCACCGCTTGAGACGGATGCCTAAAAATTGATCTAGCGGCAGATTCGGTGAGACAGAGGTCCGGATAATCGGACTGATACATATCCGAAAAGTGAAATCTTCACAAGGTTTAAAAAAATATCACAAGTGTCGCGCTTCCGAGCACTAATTCTCATTCAGGTACGCTGATCACGAGCTGGCGGAATAAGACAGAATAAAGCATAATATGGGCCTTAGAACCAAGAATGTCTCTCAACGTCCACCTTATAGATAGGAAAGAGCCGATGAAGTGATCTCTTCGGACAAAAACGCAGTAGCTGCTTCAGCCATCATACTACTAAGAAATAGGAAAGAGAGTAAATGAGAAATCGCCTAAGCGATGGCCATCTGAGTACCAATGACCAAAGCGACGATCGCTTGCATAGATACAGTGTCGCCGTTACATAGACTCGACCATATGAGTTGCGAAGCAAAATTGTAGATACACGCAAGTTGCATGAAGCATTGCATAAGAATAAGGAAGACTGAATCAAGCGACATCTCCAGAAAGGCACCATTTAACGAACCAGGCGAAAGACGAGGAAGGCTTAATCAAACCCAGAGCAGGACGTCCTTCAAAATGCGTGAAAACTACAGACAAAGATACAAGGTAAGCTAGAAAAGGCTCTGATAAAACGTCGAAAGATCGCACAACATAGTGCAACGTGGATTTTTCACACAGAGTTATGTTGTTGGAACCAGGAGCAATTGTCACACGACCATCGAAATAATACCGTAGGTATTTGAAATAAAAATTATGCAAAAAGCAAGTGCCGCAAGAGGCCGACAGCGCTCGAAGCAGAATGTCCTGCGCCAAGTGTATGACTGATGCGCTAAACTTCACTGGCAGGCACGAAGAACAGGAAACAGAACGAAAAAGGCCCTGAGAGATACAGATAGACAGACAGACAGACTGACAGGCAGACAGACAGACAGACAGATAGACAGATAGACAGACAGATAGACAGACAGACAGACAGACAGACAGACAGACAGACAGACAGACAGACAGACAGACAGACAGACAGACAGACAGACAGACAGACAGACAGACAAAGAGAGAGAAATTATTTTTCTAGACTTCAATTGTCTTAAACTATCCTGGTTTCTTGACGCCCAGGTGGAAGACAAACAAGTATATTTACCCTTTTTTAACTCAATTCAATGCTTGACAAAATAACCAATGGCAAAAAAATCAATGGATCAACCAATCAATGGCAAAAAACGATCTCACTAACGCCTCCGTGCACAAACGCACGCGAAAACTAGCGTCATATTCATGCTCTCGCTAATAGTCGGCGTCATATCGTAAATCATGAAGGCAAGGCTGCGGCAGTATGGTGTGCAGCGCACAGCCCCGTGATTTCCCTCTGGTTATATTAATTTTACATTATTAATTAATACGTCGGCGCGCAGGCGTGTCCGCAGCGACGCAGCAGCTGCCGACGCTAGTCGATAACTCGGCGAGATGTCGGCAGTACATCAGGTACCAGTGCTACGACAGCGCGCTCAAGTCCGAGACACTCTTCGACGGCCTGGTGAGGTACGAGCCGTCATTGAATCGAATAGTGACCGTGGCAGAGCACAGGTGTATAGCGTGGGAACAGCCTCCTTCCTTCTCCCAGTGCAACTCTGCGTTCTCAAATAGAAGTCTTATAAAATTATTATCTTAAAAATATTTATCTTATCTAAAATAATCAAGAGCGTAATAAAGAAGGATGGGATGGGATGGGATGGATGGGATGGATGGGATGGATAGATGGATGGGATGTATGGATGGGATGGGATGGATGGGATGGGATACCTTCTTTATACGCTCTTGATATAATGAATCTTCCATTATGCATTCACTGTGCGCTTGTTATCGCTATATTCTATATTTCTCTTTACCGGACACTTCTCTTGCCCGTCCCTCACACTAGCTCTGCAACGTCGCTGCTAAAATAATACGCAACCCAAGCTTATTCCACCACTGATTTTTAGCAAACCACCCAAGCTTCTTTCACCACGGATTCCCAGCAACCTACCCAATCTCATTTAAACCACTGATTCTTAGCGGCTCACAGATTCGGTGTAGTGTGATTCCAGGAAGCAATTCTAGAAACAATAATAAATCCGCGAACAAATAGTTTGGAGACTCTTTAGGGTTCTACCTATACGAGTACTTACCTAATAAGCTAACTAGACAAATTCATGTTTCAGGTACAGTTGGTGGGAATCGCGGAACGGCAATGCGCAGTTTTTCTGGGGCGGAGCAGCAGAGACGATGGACGCGTGCGCCTGCTTCGCGAAGAACGAATGTGCGAATAACAAAATGTAGGCGTATTCGCTTAATTGGCGTGCTGAATCATGGTAATCTTCTCCTTCGCTGCCCGCGCGCGGCCGCTAGATGAAATTTTAATCGTATTTGTGCCGCGAATGCGGTTCTAGCGGGTGCTAGTCGGAGGCGTTCCTGCATGCGTGCCTGCGTGCGCGCGTGTGTGTGTGTGTTTGTGTTCGTTCATTTGCGTATGCGTGCCCGTGAGTGCACGTGTTTGTCTTTGTGCATGTGTATGTGTGTGCGTGTGCGCTTGTGTATGTGTGTGCGTGTGCGCTTGTGTTTGTGTGTGCGTGCGTTTGTTTGTGTTTAGGCCCCCTATATATATGTGTGCGTGTGTGTGTGCCCGTACGTGGCTCGCGCGCGTACGTGTGTGTGCGCACGTGTTAGAGTTGGCAAGAACTATATCAAAACGGCACGATGGTCTGCAAAGGGAATGCATCAGCTGTACCGTCTACTAACAACATCTCTCCGTATATTCGGATCAGCACGGCCAAGTAGAAGCTCTTGGCTATTCACTATTAGTGCTTTAGTCGAAATATATAGGACAAAATGTAGAAGCTGACCAGGTTAACGTAGAAAACATGCGAGGACATTGAATATGGGTTGAGGTTATTGTCCGCACCGTCATTTCTTCATTCCTAATTTAATTAGTGTGAGAGATTGTTTTTCTCACGAAATATTGATGAAGATAGCGCGCGGGGCCGTGAAGAGGCGGGTGACCGGCGCATGGTATAGTGCGCGCATGCGCGCCTGTTTAACATTAATCTTTAAAGGCTAGCCGTGCATAAATCATGCTCCGTCGGAAAATGAATCAACATATGTTCCAGAATTACGCGCTGCATGTCGTAACGCGCTCTAGCGAAGTCAGCGCATAAACGCCCTGCGAGAGGGCACAGCGTATCGAGATTGACTTCATGTGAGAAAAACGACTCCTCTGTGATGTTTGACTTCGCGCTAACACTTCTCTGTTTGAACTCTGTGATTAGGCTAAAACTATACTTTTCTCGGGTGTTTGAATTCTGTGATTCCGTTTAAATGATGAGTAAATTCTGGTGCTAATTCTACCGACACGTGTTAACCGCATGCCCTGCTATTTCAGCCACAGGGACCTGAGGCGAAAAAAGAAGAAGAAAAGTGTTATATATATATATAAAGAGAAATATATCACTTCTCTTTATATATATAACACTTTTTTTGCCTCAGGTCCCTGTGATTTCAGCGGCTCTCGAACATCATGCTCAAGACTCGTATATATATGGCAGATTTCCTATACGGCTCGTGTCTTTGCGCAGGAAGCGAGCTGGGCGACTCGCAGAGCTCTTTTAAGCAGAGTTTCCATTCATCTCTCCTTCTAAACGCTTGATCGGATCGCTTTAAAGAGCGCCGCTCTCGCGAGACCACGCGAGACGCCGGTTCACTTTATTTATTATCGCAGCGCTGATGCCGGTGGTGATCAGTAGCTCGCGGACAGAGCGTATGAGTATAGGCATAATTCTAACGGCCTCTGGGACATTGCTGGGGCCGAGGGGAGCGGGAATTCTCAGCTGGTGTATACAATAAGCAGTTAGTTGCAATGCGCGAGCAGCCACAGCCTGAAGTTTAGCGAACGAAAAGAGAGAGAGAGAGAGAGCGAGAGAGAGAGAGAGAGAGC